TTTTTGATTTTAGCAAATGGCTGCAATGAAACAAAGTGAAAAATTTAAAGGGGTCTGAATACTTTCCGTACCCACTGTATCTATACCATTCATAGAGGCAACGTGCAAAACTGTTTTCGCCCATCACCAGGACATTGTTAGAATATAAGAGAGCACGATACAAGAAGGCTGGCATCCTTCTAAAGATCTATAACCCCAACAACCTTCCACCAGTACTGTTCATCAGCAGCTCTACATGACTGGAGACAGACAGACAGTCTCGTTAGGAACAAATTCCCCAACTTCCCTAAATAACAACCGCCAATGTCTGTGAAACAGTTCCTTTGGCGTGTGGATGAAGACGCATTGCTAGTGTGCCTTTGCTTAAGCTGCCGCGTGACCTGGTGTACAGGGAAGATGAAGATGGAACCAGCCATGACAGGACAACCGACTCTCTGTGATCAAACCTCTAAAGTGTGGAAGTAGCTGAATCAGCCTCAGATGAGATCATCATGTACTGTGATCAGCAGCAGAGCAGCCCGACTGCTAGGGAACAGTATTCATGCCATCACTTCATACATCTTCCACGGTCAGAACAGAAGCCATGTAGAAGAACAATATGGTGACGTTGGCTGTATTGTAGATGAGATCATCAGAGGGCCTGAAAACTGCTGCTGTCCTAACACGTAGAGGAAGAAGTTCTCTGATTGAAAGTGGAACAGAGAGCTCTAATCATTCAACATGGAGACAGCTGGGCCGTCACCTTCCTCCATACACATGCAGTAACCTGAGAGTGAGACACTGACCCCGCCTCTCTGCCCGTCCACATGTGTGGCTCTGATGTGCTCGGCCAGGTCGGGGCTGCTGGGGAACAGCAGCTGGCAGTGGTCCCAGCAGCACGTGGAGCTCAGAGACTTGCCCCCGCCTGCTGCCGAGCCGCTCCCCACCGCCGCGCCGTGGCCGTTGAGCATGGCCGGGGTGGAGCGGCCGCTGGACGCCGTGCTCTCCAGGTCCATCAGGGTGCTGCCGATGCTAGAGGACACAACACAGAGACCACATTAGAGACCAAGTACACACCGGAGCCCTCACTGCAGACACACAAGAACTCACAGCTCACACTGTACGATTACACACCATCCCAGACCACATAGTGGAGTAGATGCAGCTTAGACCTCTGAGGGTGTGTTATTGAATGAGAGGAGCGAGTTATTAAAACGCAGATTTAAGCTGGAAGCATTTTCATCATTGACCCATTGTGTGTTAAAGGACCATGGTACCATTGTAGTGCCGTTACTTTAACAATGGATTTAAATGAGAGGCTGCTCTCAGTCATTGTAAACATGAGAGCAGTAACATGTCGCTCATTTGAGCAGCTAAAGTAAAATAAAGACCATCAGCATTGAACTCTGCACCGTCATCACTGCAGCATCGTCCTACCAAGCAGCTGATTCTCAAAGTGAACTGAACCCACTGGATGTTAGAATGGGAATTATTTCTCTCTTAAACTTTAATCTTAACATTCTTAAGGTGTGCATGTGTGTACCGAGCCAGCTGACCATCTGCTCTGATCCCCGTCCATACTGGCTCTCTGTGGGGGCTATGCTGACATGACCTACAAGAGGACCAACACCTCTGAAAGACCCCACACACACACACACACACACACACACACACACACACACACACACAC